AATGCTGATTTGATTCTTAATGAGTTGTCTAGAGGATTCGTTTTAGTAGTTTTGAGTGCTTAGAGTATTCATTTATATTTTGTTTTGAGATTTTACGCTTAATTAATATAGTTATGTTGTTCTATATTTATTCAGCATTTTTCCCTCTTATTTGAATAGATTTCTGCTTTATTCTTTTTTAGTTGAAGAAATCTTGCCAAAACATTTATGTTGCAGCTATATTACTTTCAATTTAGTCTTAACATTTATGATTAGGCTTTTCTATTAACTCTGTGCTGTAGACTTCTACAGTTCTACTCTCAACATGGCTGCAAGTCAATAAGTCAAAATATATAATCAAATAGAATATATTATCAATTAATTATCTTTATCATAGATAAGAAAAAATTAAGTACCTTCATGAAGTATGTTGATGGCCGTCATCACAAGTTCTTAGCGGTTTGAATAAATCAGACCATTTGCTATTTTGGTTCTTGAAAATTACGGATGTTATATATTTCACTTGGCTTACAATACAGTGTGTTGTTGTGATGGTACTCATGGGGAAAGATTGGATATTAATAATCAAAGCAACCTTTGACACGATCCAATGTGAAGTAATCTACTATGCTTTTAGTTAATCATTCGTCCTCTTCCAATGCATTTTCCTTGCTGTTTTCTTATTTCAAAGTATTCTCCCTTCTGTGTGTTCTTATGGTAGGGTTCTGTGTTTTCTTATGGCAGGGATGCAACATTTCAAAAGGCCCAAAGTTATTGACCGCGTGGTATGAGACTTTAAATGGAAAGATGATAGGATTGTGGATGTGAAATATTTTATGGATGTTTTGGTTAGAAGTTGTCTGAAAGGAATTCTTTAATTTCAAAATTCAATATTTCTACTGATGTCTTTTTTCTGTTTGGTCTTGGTACTGTATTTGACCAAACGGGCATGGCCCCGAATTATGAAGTATTACATCTTATTCGGAGCTTGAAACTATGCTTTATGGGAAACTTATCAAGTGCATTTCTTTAATCACTTCTATTCCCAATATAATGATTTTGAGAGTTCAAACCTGTTTAAATGGTGGTGGTAAATAGGATGTTTGCTTAAGGCTTCAATAACTCAATAATCAGACTTTTAAAAATGTAATGAATGTCAACTTGCCATTAAGTTCTAACATCTTATATATTGTATTTATTTGTTTTTCATTCGTTTTCATGTTACTTTTCATTTAGCATTTTTGTGCAAGGCACGGATACTATCTAAATTGAAGATACATTCACACATTTTATTTCATATTTTTAGTAACTCAGTAATTAAACTTTTAGAAATGTAATGAGTATCAACTTCACATTAAGTTCTAACATCTTATTTATTGTATTTTTTTTGTTTTTTATGTTATTTTTCATTGTAATGCTTGTATGAGGCGTGAATATTATCGAGGTTAAGTATGTATTCACTCTTGTCCTTTACCCTTCCAAATTACATTTTTTCCCCATTACAATTAGATTGAAGATGCATTCACATGTCTAAAAGTGATTGAACTCAATGAAAACTTTGCCAGGTTGTCATTGAAGACATAGTCCTAAACCTCAACATTCATATTGCCAGCAGCACTTTGAAGTTTGAAAAACCATTTTTGCTATGTAATTTCAACGAAGGAAATTTCCTTTAGTTAAAGATTTTGCTATGGCCATTAATAAAATTTCAAACTCTCCTATATTGGCATTTACCTTTTAGGTTCTGCATTCAGTCATGGTCAATTGTATGTTACATGGACTTTGTCCATTTCAATACTTTTAAGTCACATTTAGAGGACTTTTTAGTCATTAGTTATTATTATTATTATTATTAATCAGTTTCCAGAACACTGAATTAAATCTTAAAAAAATCCAAATAAAGCACTCTTAAGGCCCAATATAATTTAATCTACTTCTGTTTTTAGCCCAATTTAATTTGTTGCAAGGGCAGGCCTCTTTTGCCCTAACTCCTCCCACTACTTCTCCACTACTTCCGTGAGACCATGACGAGGCACAATATAAAGGAAAAAAAATTTAAAGGAGAAAAAAAAATTTCATAGTTGGCATCTATTAAGTTTAAAACGTAACATATAAATTAATGTAATAAATTTATGAAAGGAAAAAAAAAAAATTCATCTATTAAGTTCCATCCAATGTAGGATATTTAAGATGACTTGGCAATAGATTAATGAGACATCATAGTCAAGTGACTTTCTTTGTTGACTTGGGCCTTAATTGGGCATACCGATAATGCATAGCATTTGGGCTTAATTAGATTGAAAATAAGTTTGATGGTAAATTTGAGAAAATGAACTAAGTTTATGAGCTAGCTTAGGTATCATGGTTATGTAAGTCCACTCCACTGTAGTAGATATTAAAGATTTGGTGTTTCTTTGACTTCAATGCCACGATCTTCGGAGGAACAATCTCACGCGTAGCAGTCGGAAAGGTAGGCTCCACCTTTTTCCGTTGATTTTCAATCCAATGGTCCTAGTTTTTTTTTTTTTTTTTTCATTGTGGTAACATATTTATTAGGAAAACAAATAAATAAATTGGGCAATTTCCATGCCAACCAAGCTTCCTTGTTTTTAGGGGACAAAATACTTTTGATTGATGATCATGGCACCATTGGGGTCAATTTAAGTTTTGGGAGTTTGAGTGATTTTCAGTGGTTTCTTAGTAGTTTGTTCAGTTTTTTAATGTCCCTCTCGTCCTTCACTAGTGTTAAGTGTTTGTGCTTTTTCCGGCAAGTTGGTAGAATCACATTTAGCTTGAGTGGACATAATATTGAGAGAATCAGTCATATTAGTGATTAAATATTTAAAATTGAATAATATATTTGATTTCTGGTATTGGGTTAATAAGGTAAATTAATTTAAGATATTTCAATGTATTTGATTTGTATTCATATAATATCTGTCTTAAAAATTATATAAATATTGTTACATATAACATCAAAAAAAATGTTGTTATATATAATCATTGGATATCTCAAAAATAATATTCATTATACATTTTTTTCAATTTCCCCTCACTACTTTCTCATGTTTAAAACCTTAACAATACTATACACTTTTTCAACCGGTAAGGCAAGAATCTAAGAACTTTTTTAAGAGTAAACTCCACATAAAAAAGATTACCAAGAAAGAACTTTTTTGAAAGCAAATAAGTTGACAATGATTTATAAAATTCCCATATTAATTCACTTAAAAGGATAAATTTGAAGAAGTAAACGATGTCAAAAAATAATCTCAATAGATTTCTTAATTTTAAATTGAGTCTGATTTTCAATTGCAAAATATTAGTTATTAAATAAATAGGTTTTTACCCATTATCAATAAACTCCTTATCATTATTCAATTCTTATATGGTACTTGTGATAAAAATAAAATCAACCTTTATTATTTTCTATAAGTAATTAAGTAAATGTAAAAAAGTACAATTAATATATTTTTAATTTATGTTCTTAAGTACAATTTAGACAAAGCTTTAGATAAATCAAAGATCCCAGTTCAAATTTTGGTACAAATAATTAAAGATGAATTTTAAAAAGACAATGATGTGAAAAAAAGCATGGAATCTTTTTAGCAAACAAAAGGATAAATAATGTGAGATCTACCAAACAAGAAAGGAATGAGGAGAGCACCGACGGGTCTAGCTTCGGTGTTGTTAACTAATAACGTCTTAATTAGGACAATATTTAATTAATAGTGGTTAAGTAATCCAAGTCGCCAGGTTCATTAACTTTAATCCCAAGTCAATAATAACTTCAATAATAATACTAGTAATAACAATGCTGATTCCTTGTGTTGGAGTGGAGGAATTTACTTATTCCTTTCTTTATCTTTTTCATGGGATACAGTACTAGCATTGCTTTAGGCCGAACCCCCTAGCTATTTGGGATTAATGGGATTTGGGCTATAATTGAGTGAAGATTGCAACTTTAATGGAATTATAAAGAATTTTGTACTTTGGACCTTCCTCTTAGCTATTTGGCGCAAAAAAATAAAAAAAAAAATTCCTCTGGTTTTGATCTTGTGGGTCCTGTGTATCATGCCGGAAGTAAAATAAAACCAACATTTTTCATAAATGAAGAAAAGATAGAAAAGATGAGTTCAAAATTTATAGATTTCGTAGCGACACGGCAAATTAAACCCAATTTCATGAGTCAAGAAAATAGCTATAGCCCGACATAATTAATACTTGCAACGGCCGCCGTATGAATTAGAACAAATCATTCGTGGCCATAGAAGTGTGCCTCCATTCACATGAACATGTAAGTGAAAATGGTGTACAATTACAAAGAAGGAAAATAAGTAAAAGGTATTTTGATAAATTCATACTTTATATTGAAAAAAACCTTTTTATTTTATTATAATTGAAAGATATGAAGAGTTTTGTTTTTGTAGTTTCATTGTTTTGTTTTGACAATGTTTGGAAAAGAAAGAAGAAAAAATAATGCACATCATCCTCTTGGAATGTCACTAATTAATGGGCTGGATCTGTCCGCTATTCAAATCTAAATGGGCCTTTCAAATAGCCCCATTTTTTGATAAACAGCCCAATTATTTTGATTAGTAGTGGTTATGTTAAGGGAGTTCATGTTTCTTAAACAGGTGTTTTGATGTCTTTCTAGATAGCTTTTCCTGGTGTATTTGCATCTAAATGTTCATTTAAAAATGATGATCGTATTGAACTTTATTTCATTTATTTATGCATCTATATTCAAACATTATAGAGAGTCTGGATGGGTAGAGTTGTTTGCTGCAACATCAATATGGCTATAAAAT